AGCTTTAATACAATCATCCAATCAGGAGACAGAGTCAGGATCTGACCCTAATTCAAACTGATTGGCGCGGCTTGATGAATCAATTGCCGCTTTCAACCAGAGGTTTATTTTTCCTCTCCCCTTCGCAATGAAAATAATAAAAATAAACCTCTGGAACCAGGGTAGTGATCTGTGTGTAATGAAAGAAGTTTTAATTAAACTGTCTTTGTGTAAGGCTCTTAAGCCCCGCATGGGCAAACTAGGAAACATTGTTGCGGAAACATTGTTTCCTGCCAATGTTTCGCCATGTTTCCCAGAGTGGGCAAACACTAGGAAACATTAGTGAGAAACATAGGGAAACATCAAATGTTTCTGAATTCGCTAGGAAACCTTTTTGCTTCTCGGGAAGCAAATTTTGTTTCCGCAACAATGTTTCCACGGGTGGGAAAACAGGGAAACATTTGAGGAAACATCGAGAATCACAAATGTTTCCCGACAACAATGTTTCCTAGTTTGCCCAGGGCTTTAGACTTGTGCGGATATACCCTCAGAAAATTATAATGTAGTAGTACTAGTAGTAAACTATCTTTGTTTGTTGTAGGCTGGCTACGACAAGGCAACAATTTATATCACAAGTCCAGCTTCAGGAGCAGGAATACTGACTGTGTGATAACATATGTCAAACTAATTAATTTAATTTTTAATTGTCTAATTAGTTAATTATTCTAATTGCATTCAATGAACGCATTATGTGTTATTATTAAACGTGCGCAAACCACGTCATTTGGTCGTTTGGAAGCACGCTATAATTAAATGAATGATACACGTTAATTTAGACTCTTTCGTATATATGTACACGAACGATATTATTTAAAATGTGATGTATTTAGGCTTATGTGATATGCAAATAAAGCCTCATTCTGGCGTATGACAATTATTGCTGACGCCACATTCATTCAGTTTATGGCAAAATTTCTTTAATACACGTGTTTATATCATAGATATTAGATATCGTATATACACTAGATAGTGCATCTAATTATTCTGCAATTCAAACATTGAAGCCGTGATTGCAGACTCAGGATATTCCCATGAAATGAGAAGACTCGTATGTTTTCTATTTCTTAAACAGGGAACTTAAACATTAAGTTAAACCTATTCCAAATACATTTTCAAGCTATTCAAATGATGAAAGTTATTGTTGTTTTTAAGCGTTTATTAGCGAGTGGGAAACTCCAACATGGCCGCCATCTATTCAAATGGGGGTAACCGCTGGAATATTCTTGGCTACAATTTTACTAAAAGAGATGCGCTATCTAGTGTATATAAGATATCTGTGGTTTATATTCGATACATAACGCCAGAGTAAGGGCCTGCTCATATGAGCTCGGTTGCCGACAGGCTTTAAATTAGATAGCTTAAGATCTACGACGTCGACGTCAGCTAGGACGTCAGGGCTATGCAGAGGACTGGGACTAGGATGTCGTCCTAATGTAGTCCCAGTCCTCTGCTTAGCCCTGACGTCATAGCTGACGTTGACGTCGTAGATCTTAAGCTATCTAATATCTTTTACAGAACCGTCTGACAAAATGTCCGATGCCGTTGAGTTTGGGTCGGACATATGTCCGATGACCTTCAGTTCAGTTTTGACTCTGAAATAAGTCTGAATGACACAAATAAATATCAGCACAATGTACTAATTCTGAACGGTAAATGTTGTGAAGATATTAAATAATTTGTTTCTTTCATACTTATTCCCAAGCCAAAATTAACTTGTTTTCCGGACTAGCAGTATATTAAACAACTTAAGCCCGTTTTCCACTTCACCATTTCGCTCGCCGCCCCGCGCTCGACTACGTTAAAACATTTCCAGTTCACCTTTTACACAATAGTACTCTGATTTGCCATTTAACATACAAGCCTTTTGTTCTGGGCTAGGGTACATTTTGATTTACGTTGGACAAAGCTACAGTTTGGTCAGATACCAATACACTCGGGTCGGACAAACAATAAGCTTCAGTTTCACTTAGGTCGGACAGAATGTCCGGTGGTTTCCTTTCTACATCGGACAATTTCACGAATGGGTCGTCGGACAATGTCCGTGACCGACCGATATTTTAAGGCCTGGTTGCCGAACTGGAGTGCTTTTCTCCGCTCAATACTCTAATAGATCTGAGCAGATACCAACAAGCTTTCTCGTTGGTAGGGATGCGACTACCGGAAAAATACAAAGAGTTTTCTCTGGACTGGACTCACAGGAACAGGCAGGCCCAAGTGTGTTTTTGTTCGGATATTATATAGGACCTATTGTAAATAAAATTCGGAAGCATTAGGCCATGGGAATGAAAGTCTCTGATTTGCGTTCACCGTCCACGCGTGCTCCATTATTCAGAACAAAATTCATTATTTGCAGAAAAAAACTAACCCTTACAGAATTTCAAGTTCCAAATCGTACCTTAGTCTTAGATATCTTATAGACTAGATAGCGCATCTCTTTTAGTAAAATTGAAGCAGCCAAGAATATTCCAGCGGTTACCCCCATTTGAATAGATGGCGGCCATGTTGGTATTTCCCACTCGCAAATAAACGCTTAAAAAACAACAATAACTTTCATCATTTGAATAGTTTAAAAATGTATTTGGAATAAGTTTAACTTAATGTTTTTAAACATTAAGTTAAGTGTAGAAGATTCGTAATGTAGAAGAGTCTGCAATCACGTACGGCTTCAATTTTTGAATTGCAGAATAATTAGATGCACTATCTAGTGTACATAAGATATCTATGACCTTAGTTTATATACGTATACGTTTAGAAAAAGCGCATTGTTGCATGAAAAGCATGACGTTTTTGCCCACTCGCATTTATGCATTTATGCAAACATAATTTAGCCGTTCATTATATGGCCTACGAGTTATGGCATCAGCTGTTCTCGTTTGAAGTCAAGAACGATAATTTATGCAGTCGCGTGAGTTTGAAACAAGAGCAGCTGTCGTAGTCGTTAGCAGTTCGATATTTTTACATGTAACGTAACATTTGGAGTTGACCCACCACGTCGGGAATACCACAAATCTATCTACTGACTACTGTGTGTCAAATCTACTGTCACTCCAGTGTGGTCGCCATTGGCTTCATTTAGAGATGAATTTGCTATCTTTAATCTTTCTAGAGTTTCACATTAAATAGTATATACTAATTTACAATGTGAATTCCATTTAAAATTTATAAGAATCTAACTAAGGTTAACGTTAAAGGTATACTGATTTACAAGTAATCTTTAATTAAAAATTTTTTGAAGGAATCGACAAATTTGCTTCGACTCCAGCCTTCGCCGCTTCGGTTAAAACTTTCAATTCCCATACACAATACGGCTAATTTGTTCTCCATTTGATCTAGTTTGTCGCTGGGGGGATACAGGGGTGTTAGCCTTAGCAAGGGGGCGAAGGGGGGGGGGTGACAGCTTCCTTACAGAGTGAACAGGCAATATCCTACAAACCTATAACACCAGGGGGCCGGTTGTATAAAAAAGTGATTAAAGTTAATTATAGTTAGTGGAAACGCCATCCAATAAGAAGCGTGTATTTGAGAGTTATAAACACTATTTAACTACAAAATAGTGATTAAAAGAGTGATTAAGAGTTTTATACAACCGGCCCCAGCTAGGCAATATCCTACAAACCTAACACCAGCTCCCCAAGTTCCCCCTACGCACAGCTCGGTCTAATTGTCACCCTGTTTTTTCTACAACCCCCTCCCCCCCCCACTAGATATATTACGATCGTGCATATGATCAAATGCACTTTACTGAAAGGCGCTTGCTATGATGACTCACCGAAGTCCTTATTTATTGAGGCACTATGATTGAGATCAGTGATAGAAAGCAGATGTTCGCCTCGACGTCGTACGTACGTGATTATATTTAACATTTAACCTCTATGATGTTATTATGACACTTCCTATATCTACTAATATATGCACACAAATTAACAAGCAGGACATTGCGCTCATCCATCGTGTACGAGATCACGTCAAGTAAGTCAAGTAACTGTTCTCAAGTTATATAACCTGCAGAAGTGTTATGGATCCAAGTACTCGATCACTAAACCTCATCCTTATATCCATTGTCAATGGATTCTTCTTTTTCATCGGGATATTTCTCAACTCCATTGTAATAATCTGTTTACTAAGGTCAAATCAACACCTGAAGCGATTGTGTTCGTTCATGATTCTGGTCCTGAGCTGTTTTGATCTTGCCACCGTAATCGTTTGTCATCCCTTGATAATAACCTCAACCTACATCTGGTCAACTGGCGACAACGAACAGACTAATATTTACCACAGGGTGAAGAAATATTCCAATATTTTATTCCATTTTTCATTCATGGCATTGTTGGTTATGAACATCGATCGATTTTTGGCCGTGAGTTTCCCGTTCTTTCATAGACTGAATGTAACAAGACGGCGTCTGATGGCTCTGCTTGGAGTGTTTTTGGTTCTAATCCTCGTCGAAAGAGTCCTCGCTTACCGAGATATCTTCGGAATCATGTGCTATGCAGCAGAGGCTGTGTTAGTCGGGGCACTTCTGGTGGTGATCTTTGTCATCAATTGCAAAATGTACAAGACCGCCAAGACGGCACAACGAGTAGCCACCACAGGTATATCTACTTGTATATTGGCCGTGGCTTGTTTCATCGTGTTTTCGGCGCCACTTTTAATCTACAGTGCAATCCAGTTCGCTCCAGATACTTTACATCAAGGCAATGGAAAGTTGTTTAGTCTCTGGGCTAGCACGTTTGCGTGTATGAATTCTTCCGTGAATTGTCTCCTCTTCTTCTGGAAAGACAGGAATTTGCGTCAAGAAGGAGCGAAGGTATTGGAGGGCTTCGTTAAGCGAGAATCGAGTACGTTTGAGACAGACAATCATGACATGAGAGCGATAAAAAATCATCGGGAAGCTTAAAAGACTAATACTCGAGCAATAGAGATGGGCCACCCATATGATAAATCTTCATATTGTAGATTTACGTTTGTTGGTGGAAGTTGTTGAACTTAAAGCGACCTACATTGAACGCTACTTTCATAGAAACTTTCTGAAGATTAGTTGAACTCACTGAACTCAAAAAGACCTTCATGAAAGGCTATCTACTTGCATGGAAAGTTGAACTCATTGTACCTAACAACCTAAGGGACGCTATACTTTCATAGAAAGTGTCTTTAAATTAGCTGAAGGCATGAAATCAATTCTCCCATTGACGATTTTGAACGTCGAAACAAGGAAATAGTTTAATGACAGTTTTTCTAGATCTTCTATAATGTACACACCTTTAAGACGGAACCGCACTTAAAAGTTTCCTTTTTACTGAAGTAGGAAATAAGAATGTGTAGAATGAGGAATTAAGCGTGGTCACGCATTGTTACAGGGGATATTTCTAGCTCTAGATTAACAAAAGAAAGGTTTGATGAGTGTTCCAACTATGTTTCAACTCAAATAAAATACATAATAGTGTTGGGAAAACATTAAGAACAGCTAACCAAGATCGCGTGATTGCCATCTCTTATGCACTCTTATCCTCGCCTCATCCGGGGCTAATATTCTGTCTTTGTCAAACAATTAAACCATGATAAGTCATTAACTTTCAAAAAAGCTTATAAGAATATCGCATGTGTGTTTGGTTTATACCAGCTACCTTTTAGAATTGTTACATCATTTTCATTGATTACATCATTTTCACGGCTCAAAACATAAACATAACCAAAGTCCGTTCTGCGCATATATTCTGCGCATCAATACATTCCATCATTGGGGGAGCAGCAACCTTTGGAATGTTGTTAATATTTCGCACCTTCCGAACTTTCTTGAATTGAATCTCTAGTCTGCATTCATTTACAAGCATAGCGAACCGGAAGAGTGTTAAAAATTCAGTAAAATATATATCTAATCATATTTTACAACTGTAGCACTGAGTTCAAAATGTAAACAAGTAAAATATATATCTAATCATATTTTACAACTGTAGCACTGAGTTCAAAATGTAAACAAAGCGTTTGTTTAACCCATTGAGTAGCATTGCACCCTGATGCACCCTACTTTAGTATTTTACTCTGTCTAACGCCAGACGATTTTACTCGTCAAGGGGAGAGCGCTGGCGCTTAATCGGTTAACTGCAGGCCTATCTGCCCATCTATCTAGTTAACCCATTGAGTCGCATTGCACCCTGATGCACCGCTACTTTAGTATCTTACTCTGTCTAACGCCAGACGATTTTACTCGTCAAGGGGAGAGCGCTGGCGCTTAATGGGTTAAACATTACGGACTTTACATCACCTTTAAAACGTTTCAAGTCTTTTGGAGTGTTTTATGTCAATTCACTGACAATCGCCTACTCGAGGGTGCTTTAAAAGAAAGATAAGTAGTTTTATTAAAGTGCCAACTAATGTTTAGTAATATATGTTTCGGTTCTATTACAAAAATGTACGTAATTCTGTGTTCTGCCTTCTGGTGTTGCCGTTCTCAAACTCTATTATAATATAGCATTTGTAAATTGTGAACGCTGATTGGCTAAGAGCCGTGTTGATATAACTCCATGTCAACACGGGAAATTTTCCGCCGCTTGTTAACACGGAAATTTTTCTTATTCTTCGGGCTTTCACACAATTTCTCGTTTTCCCAATTTCCACTCGTGTTGATATAACTGTATATCAACACGGAAAATGTTTTATATTTGTTAATTATAATATAGCATTTGTAAATTCTGAACGCTGATTGGCTA